GTAGAGGTAAATTTTTGGGGCCGGAGCTGATCGTATCTCAAAAATTTCGTAAGTAGGGGCGTTCGTAAGTAGAGGTAAATTTTTGGGGCCGGAGCTGATCGTATCTCAAAAATTTCGTAAGTAGGGGCGTTCGTAAGTAGAGGTACCACTGTATTATGGTTGTGTGTAGATATCTCGGTGTGACCCTGGTGAGGTTGGGTGTCTACAGCATAGACAGATTACCTTCTTGGGTTCTTTTAAAGGGTAGCCTATAAATATTTCAATAAAGGTTATTCTCAAATTTTGCCTGCAGTTCTCCATATGCTACCTTTGTCAACTGAGTTCATTTTTAAAATCTTTAGCTGGACATAATTATACTTTACCCTGTTCTATGCTTGAGAAGACTATTACACTAGAGAAGGAGGATCCTTAACTGAATACTGACTCACATCCAATCACAATGAAGAAAAGGGACAATAAGCAGTGTAGTAATTAGGTGAATTCAAGAGCACAGGACACGTTACGGTCTATTTCCATAGCTACAAAATTGTGAATATAGATGAATATAAAACATACAAGTACAGACAAGTGTTCTGGTGAAGGGACACTAATAGCACACATACATAGATGCGTAACCATTCACGGATATAGAACTAGCTGTATTACTTTCACTGAATCACAGAATCAAGCAGCCTTATGTTGTCCAAATTATTGAAAGACCAGGATCTACACTAGGCAATCTACCTACCAGTTCCCAGATTTAATTACAAATTATAACACTATCCTCTCTGGGGATACAGTGTCAGAGTACCTCTGGGAAGGAAACAGAATTCTAAAGCTGTACAATCACAAGTGCCTATAGGGAGGAAAGTGATTAGACGTGCATTACAATATCATAATGTGAACCCCCCTCCCTGGTCTGGTTGCCTACAGTTACCTATGCACATAAGATTTTCTATTACAAAACAGGACGTGAACTTCCAAGTATTCCCAAACTCAAAGCTAACATGTTATTTTGCAAATCTTGAGTTGCCCTAATGAAAACACTGCCTTATTATTAATTTTATATTTTTTTCTCTCTAATTATCCTTTTAAATAAATAAATCTGTGTGGTTGCTAAGAGTCGGCAACAACTTCATGACACGTAATCAATCACTTTTCCTTTTAAAATTCCATTAGCATATAAGAACTAGCTAATATTACATTACAGTTACAATTTCAGAAAGATGAAGAACTTTTCTGTACAACTGCTTTTGTACAACTGCTAGCAGACTTTCCAGCCCAACAAAAAAGCCTCTGAGATTCTGGAAGATCCAGCATAGTATAATAAAAGCCTGCCAAGTGAGAAATCTATTTTGTGACAACACTGCATACTTTTACAAAGTCTTTTAAAGAGTAAGAATGGCAGCTTACCTTATTCAGCCACTCTGCTCTTTCAGTATCTGGAAAGTGAACCTAGTTTTAAAGAAAAAAGTTACAAATTAAGAAAGAAAAAAAATCTCCAAAAAGAAAATCACAATGACCAGGAAACACAAATGGAGGAATCTGAAAATAGGAAATTGCTTCAAACACATTAGTAGCCATTGACTACAATTTTCCCATCCAGCAGTGGATGAACAAGAGATATGGCCATGGTGATTCTGCATAAATAAGGTATATCTGGTTTTAGCATTAATTCATACATACAGAAGACATGATTCAACTGCTAAGGCAGTGCTTCTCAAACACAATCTAAATGACTGTGCGACCCTTTTCCCCCAGGAATAAAACTAATAATTTCATAGGTGTTAGGTCTGGGCAAGAAATAAAGATATCATTTTAATAACTAATTTTTAACCTATGTATTGCATAGATTCTCAAACTTTGCCGCACACTGCAGGTTTGCACAGGCAAAATGAGGAGCAGAACCCAGAGTGAGTTTGGTTAGTGCTCCTACTTGCCTACATAAGCCTGATCAGGTGGAATATGAAAGATTTAAAAAAATACCTGTAACCCCTGACCCACAGTTGGAGAATCCTTTGCTAAAATATTGACTTGATGCATTAAAAGTAATTTTCATCACTATAATTGGTTCACAGGAATCATTTTTGTATTTTGCCAATTTCTTAAATTTGTATAATTTTATATTACCCTCATTCTTCCACAGAAAAACTCAACCCTACAGATAGTTTGACTGGTGATCTTCTAAATATTATATCTTCAAATGATGTAAAAGCATAATATATAACATGCTAACCACAGTACTTTGATTCACTTGTCACAAGAAACTATGATTTGCTAAACTACAAAGATAAGCCTCTGGATGAGTGACAGAGCTTGGGTTTATATGCCATAGATCAACCAAACTGGAAAGTAAAAATGGCAGAATAGGAATTAGCAAACCACTTCTATATTGTTGTCAATATACACACACATCTATGTAGTCACCAGAGTTAAAATAGAACTGATGGAGACTTTTCTGTGAAGGATTATATGCATGGAACCATTAAATAAGTATGTTAAGGTTTGATAAAAAATGGTTATCAAAAATTGTTCAGAGTGTTAATTAAAGAACTGTCAACAGTTGGGAGGCATTGCTCAACCTTTCCCACCTGATACACATTCCTATCACAATGGCTGAGGTTTACACAGGCATTTGCCCATAGCTAAAATCTATACCAAAAGCAGCCTTAAGCCATGCTTAACCAGCATTAAAGCTGAACTAACTGGTTCAGACCCACAGACAAGAGATCACTTAGGCTAATAGTTTACCAGCATTGCAGAGAGGAGGGGTACTCTTATCAGTTAACTGGCACTCAATAATGGGATTTTTATTGATGCTGTTGGTTCACTGCAGGAAAAAACAAACTTAAAGCCGATGATTGACCCACAGTAAGAGCAGATTTTCAAAACTGCCTGCATATAGTTTTTTTGTTTGTTTCAAACTCGCAACAGACTAAAAGGGCTGATGGTTATGTTTAATCTGCTTAAGTACATGAGAACTATCAATAACTATCAATAATGTATATTGAATGCTTCTAAGTATTATTATACAATATTTTATTTATACAGAGTTCAAGTACAAGGGTCAAGTCCAATGCAGCTGGCAGCTACAAGCGATGTCTCCATACAACTTACATTCAGATCTATTCATTCCACCCCAAGAAAATTAAGTTCCTTTTTGGTCTGAATAAACTCATAATTTGAGTTTATTTTCATTGCCAAAAGGAATAAGTTCTATATTATAAGATTATAAGTATCTACAAAGCAATCAAGAGGCATATGGAAATTCTCAAGTGACAACTGACATTTTCTTTAATGTACAGTCATTTCTTCTATCTGCACATAAGGGTTGCAACATTCAGATTTTAAAAACTGCCAACGTCAAATTGACCTTGAGTTTGCGGTTAACGTGGTAAAAAAAAGTAAGAACAAGCATGCATTTTCACAATTTTAGGATTTAACACATTTAAGAAAACCTCTACTCATAAGTCAACAAAAATAATTCCCCTAAATACCATAGTTGAAATTATTAAAAATGTTTTTAAAGCAAAGACTTGCTTTAAAAACTTTTTTAAAAGGATGCATGACTTATGGGCATAGATTTTTGGTCAGTGCTACACTGAAATGAGACAGCAGGATTCATATAAATGTACAAAGCTTCCTAATGCCAAATCCCTTTTTCCCCCTTCACATGACTGCTAGTAGACTCCAAGAATGTAGAGCAGATCTGCACAACATCCAGCCCACCATACAGTCTTGGGTGACCCATTTTTTTAAAAAGTAGTACATTTATGCTGATGCTGCCCCGAAAGACATGCTGCCAAGCACCTCCAAGCTCCATCACCCTCACCAACTCCAGTGCTTCCACTGTTCTGCTAGCCACAGAACAGCTGATTGGCACTCCAGGTATTTCTTTGCAGCCCACAAGGATTTTTTATTTATCTATGTCAGTGTTGTCCAAACTTGGCCACTTTAAGATGAGTGGACTTCAACTCCCAGAATTCCCCAGCCAGCATGTCTGGAAGTCCACTCATCTTAAAGTGGCCAAGTTTGGACAACACTGATCTATGTGGCCCTTTCTCCTTGATGAATTGTGCAGGCCTGATGTAGAGCATGGTCTTTTCAATCCTGATTTTATCTGGAAATGGCAAGGATTAAAGTGGCAGTTTCAGCATCCCAAAATAGGAATTCTACTATTGATCTAGCTCATCTCTAATTTTACCTAGTCAAAGGGCAACTATGAAATACAGTGGGGCAAAAAAGTATTTAGTCAGCCACCAATTGTGCAAGTTCTCCCACTTAAAAAGATGAGAGAGGCCTGTAATTCTCTATTATTGTCACAGTACATAGTACACAGTAAATTACAGGCCTCTCTCATCTTTTTAAGTGGGAGAACTTGCACAATTGGTGGCTGACTAAATACTTTTTTGCCCCACTGTACACATGAAAATTACAGGCCTCTCTCATCTTTTTAAGTGGGAGAACTTGCACAATTGGTGGCTGACTAAATACTTTTTTGCCCCACTGTACACATGAAAATTACAGGCCTCTCTCATCTTTTTAAGTGGGAGAACTTGCACAATTGGTGGCTGACTAAATACTTTTTTGCCCCACTGTACACATGAAAATTACAGGCCTCTCTCATCTTTTTAAGTGGGAGAACTTGCACAATTGGTGGCTGACTAAATACTTTTTTGCCCCACTGTACACATGAAAATTACAGGCCTCTCTCATCTTTTTAAGTGGGAGAACTTGCACAATTGGTGGCTGACTAAATACTTTTTTGCCCCACTGTACACATGAAAATTACAGGCCTCTCTCATCTTTTTAAGTGGGAGAACTTGCACAATTGGTGGCTGACTAAATACTTTTTTGCCCCACTGTACACATGAAAATTACAGGCCTCTCTCATCTTTTTAAGTGGGAGAACTTGCACAATTGGTGGCTGACTAAATACTTTTTTGCCCCACTGTACACATGAAAATTACAGGCCTCTCTCATCTTTTTAAGTGGGAGAACTTGCACAATTGGTGGCTGACTAAATACTTTTTTGCCCCACTGTACACATGAAAATTACAGGCCTCTCTCATCTTTTTAAGTGGGAGAACATGCACAATTGGTGGCTGACTAAATACTTTTTTGCCCCACTGTACACATGATAAAAAAAGACAAGAAAAACACAAATTAAAAATTTGCAAGGTTGCATGAGGACTGACATAGCATTCTGCCATCAATATCTCTATTATTGTCACAGTACATAGTACACAGTCCTAATAAGTAACCTCCATAAGGTTACTTACTCTTTCAAGATGTGTTATAAGTTTGCAAAAAAGTTCCTCAGAGCAAGTTTTAAGTTACAGAATGAACTGTAGAATTCTATGTATTCTATAAAACCAATGTTCATTTTTGTGAAAAATATCCTCTTTACATGCATATTTTTAGGAATACAATGCCCACACTCATGTCTCTCAGTCTTTTCACACAAGGAGGGATTACATAGCTTGCCACATGTTAAGGTTATCAGATTTTATTACAGTAAATGGCAGCGTAGTCTTTAACTTAATGGCCACAATAGATTTTTGGTCACATTTTGTCAGCCTTACTAGGTAGACCAGATAGGAAACAGACCAGATGAGCTAATTCTACTTTACTGTAAAGCAACATTAACAGAACCTTGCAAGTCTGAAAGTGCAATTCTCCCCGTCTCCTTTACAGCCAGCGAAACCTCTGAGCCTCTTGCGCCACCCACTATCCAGCTGTGGGCTATGCTGTCTCTTATCTGATAGTTCCCTAGGCAGTGTCTCTTGGCCCATTCCCAAGGTCTTTCCTAAATACCATTACACATTGCCAGATTTTTAAACAGCCACATGTTATGCTTGTTGTATGTAGCTTACTGTATCTGGGACAAGGGGTAATCTACTGCTTATTTTCAAAACTAAAGCTTCCTCTAACAAGACAGTGAAAGTGATAGATATAGCAATGACCTGAGATGGGAATTTTTTCCAGTGCTTTGTTCTTCCACAGCCATTCTCCCGCTCCAAATCACTAATGATGCAAGTTGTCTGATGCAAACCAATCCAATATGCATTTGCATCGGAACAGTCCCTATGCAAAGTGAACCTTCTTTTCTGAAAATTATCCCATGCAAGTTGCCATGTGAAAAATTCCTGGTTCAAAATTTTCCACTTCAACATTTTCTGGAAAATCTGCATCACTTAGCTTAACAAAAAAAGTACCCAACCATGTACTGATTGGGGATCCCACTGTGTAATAAAAGCTTTTAAACGGCTACATAAACTCTAGACAAGGACTTGCAGATTACAGTGGTACCTCGGGTTATGAACGCCTCTACTAACGAACATTTCGGGTTACGACCAGTTTCGGCAGGAAAAATTTACCTCGGGTTACAAACTCGCCTCGACTTACGAACCGGATCCGCGGCCATTTTCCCTGCTGCCACGTGGTCGCGGCTT